CCATGGCCTTTCTTCCCGTGGTGCCACCTAGCGCCAGCTCCTTCAGCGGCTCTCTTTTCCCTACAGTGAGCATCTGCCCCGCAGGCCTCAGGCTGGCACCCTAGGCGCCCACCTCACCCAAGCCAAACCCCAGCCATCAGGCTAACAGCATATTTGTTCCTACAGACGGCTCTATCTGACTGGCCCCGTTTCCCACTACTGTATTTTAACTGTTTCGAGATGTAGGGGCTGCTGTCTGTGAGGCAGAAGAACTTGGGCCCTCCTCACACACCTTTGGGGTGCGCAGCGGCCCTCTGGCAGTGGCATGGGGCTCGCCTCCCTACAAGCAACCTACCTGCCCCGGGGGGAGTGCTTTTACGAGACCCCTTCCCAAACCCAATGTCCACCAAAGCCAGGCAGGCAAAATGCCTCCGTGGGACAAGAAGAAACTGAAGGACTGAGCAAAAAGGAAAAAAAAAAAAAGCATGAAAACGTCAAGTGCATAGGCGGTAAACATCCAGCAATGCCAGTTTTCTATTAAAAGAGGATTGGATCAGTGCTGCTAGAACTAAATATTAACTTTTGAGATAAATAATAACCAGGAATATAGGCAACACTGTCAAAGCCAAAACCATCCCGGACAAAAGCCTTTGCCTTTATTCACTCCTCACTGAAATGTGGATAAATCAGTGAAAATCTGCTGAAGTTAAAGCTGTGTAGGCATTACAACAGCCCCTCCGAGTTTGGAGCACAGTTAAACACTACTCTTTCACCACGAGAAACTAGGATCATTGGAACAGATAGATTATTAAAAATCCAATTTATTTTTCCCAGTTGATATGGTTTGTTTACTTTCTGAATCTTCTTGGGCCAAACTAACGCAATCAATGAAGTCAGTTTCACTTTGATTTGCCATCCTTTTCTCTCTGCAGCACGGTTTGAACTGCCGACCTTACAGAGGGAACAAGTTATTGTTTAAAAACAACTATTTCCAGTACATTGTTTCATTAAAAAAAAAAAATCTTTAAAGCATATATAAAGGGCTCGAGTTTTCTAAAAGTTTTGCTGTATAAAAAAAAAAAAAAAAGTAACTTGAAGTTAAATTTCAGTATTTAATTCTCCATTAACATTTACAAATCTCTTTCAGTAGGAGCTCTTTACCATACAGACCACACTGTAAAACAGTCCTATAAAATGAGACAGGAGTGAAACCAACTAAAATCTATAAGGCCACAGCATGCCATCAATTTCTAAACAGAACTCCTATTCAAATCGTTCTGCTTAAAACCTCATATGGCCTGCAAAAATGAACAGGGTTTTCTTGAAATGATTTAAATAACAATTTATCTAAGACTGTAATCTCTCTTGTATGGGATTTGTAAGCCATCCCACAGAATTCTCTAGCAGGAGATACTGTTCCCTATTTACATCAAAGTTTTATATAAATAATAATACTTTATTTTATTTTTTTGGAGATTTTCTGCAGCTGTTCTCCCTTATGAATAAGTAGGGCCTATGAAGAAAATGTGAAAATAGGAAAACTGTGAGTAATATTTATAATAATGATATATCCAACTCAGGAAATTGCTACAACTGTCTTTATCAAAATAAACAAGATTGGTATTTTTTCCTCCTGTAAGAGAAGAGCAAAATCCACTACTATTAAAATTAATCTGACGTGGTATTTGTTTGGTATTTGGATTTGATTGTCTTATACCCCATTTTTGGTCCCGTTTAAAAAAAACAACAACAACAACCACCCAAACCAAAAACCACACGCACACAAAACCCAACTGCGTTGCTTTTCGTCTCGCAGGAGTGGAAGAGGCACATGCACACGCCATTCAGTCCAAAATTACTCTAGCTACAGGGCATGGCAAAGCATGAAATAACTGCTCCGGAGCACTTCCTCGTGTGGGTGTGTTAGATAACTGTCTGCTCCAGCGCTAAAATAAAGTGTGCTGAGACCCAGACAACACTGGGGAGCTCCGCTCTGGACCACCGAGTGGGTTGGGGGCATCTGAGCCCCCAGACCCTGAAGCAGCCTGGGCACCTGGTGCCCCTTCAAACTCTGCTGTGCCCCTTGGCCGAGGGGCTTTTGGCTCGCTGGGTTCCAGCCACAGCATCATGCACTGGATTTAAGTTTACTTAGACATACTTCACCCTTCGCTGTCATATCCAGATTGCAAACGGACTTTGTGCAGTCAGGAAGGGCTAAGACTTATTAATTTTTTTATTATTATTTTATAGAATATACTTAGGTTTCAAAGAAAATGAAATCCCTCTGATGGGAAAGTTTTCACGATTAAAAAGAGACCTTACTGCGTCACAAAAAATGTTTCTCCCACTCCGACTCTCTTTTCTATGCTCACATTTTTCTTCCCTGGGGTCTTCACGAAAGGAAGAGATACACCACAGTCATTTTTAAAGTTTTCCTCAAACCTAAAGGTGAGGCTGGGCTTCCGCTCAGTGTGCGCGCGGGACTCCCAAAGACGGGTCTGCCGGCCTCCCTGCCGGAGGAAAGCCGGGCTGCTGAAGGACACGGACCTGCCCTGGCTCGGGACGGAGCGCCAGGTGCCCGACAACATGCACACCCCTCCAGGGGGGCTGCTGCTGCAATCCTGCTGTGGGCTCAGCACCAGCCCGGGCACCGGGAGCTTCGTCCACCATCAGGGCCCCCGCGCGCCTGGCGGGACTTGTGCATCCCCTCCGGGCCCAGGTCTGAGTGTCAGAGCTGGAGGTGGAAGCTAGAGGAGGAGAGGCAGCACCTTGCTGCAGGAACAGGTCATTTGGAGCCCTGAGCACTGCTCCAGCCTACCGGCAAAACGCTGGCTAAGAAGCCTGAGTAAAAAGGAGGAAGGGGAAAAAAAAAAAAAAAAGAGAGAGAGAGAGAAAAGAAAAAAGCAAGAAAAAAGCAATGAATGTCATTCCCTAGCTAAGAGATGAGCCACCAATTCTTGGCACAGCGCTCTGTAAAACCTTGAAAAGTTTCACTCGGGTTCTGGAATAAAGCTTCTAATAAAATGGAGCAAGTAGTTTCTGCAGTTGTCGTGCCAGTGAATAGATCTGCTGCTTTGGATTTCAATTAACTTAGTTTGTTCAGCGAGGAGGCACTTCGGTTGAAACTGGGGAGCTGCAAGTTAAAGGACAGCTAAAAAAAAAAAGCAAAACAACAGGAAAAAAAAAAAAAGAGCCGAACCTGTTGGCAGCAAAAGTTCTCGCTGGCTGTAACATAATGAATTTTATTAAAACATTTCAAAGGATCTGAAGGTTTGGGAGAATCTACCAGGCAGTCCCAGGTGGGTTAGGAATAAAGCATTATGGACTTCTTTGTGCTGAGAGGAAGGCCTAATGCATTTTTTTAAGAAGTCCGTCCCTTGCTATTAAATAAATAACCTTCTATTAAAAAAGGTGATTGTTATTGCTGAGAGATCTCCACCGATCAGCGTCCATTTTCTATAATTACTTAGGATTCTCCAGAACATTTTATGTAACTCACTTCCACTGACTGTCTCTTTTCTTTTCTCTTTTTTTTGTGTGTGTGTGTTTTGTTTTGTTACCAGCAGAGTAACAGTTTTACTCTCCAACAGAAATGACAGGAGCTCAGATAAAAAGACCATTTGAAATGGATCGATTTAAGCAGCCTTTAGAACCCACGATAAATCTGGGCTCCAAAAAACTCGACAATGCTAGATGGGCTACGAAACGCATCGCCAATCCCTCCCCAGGAAAAAAAGAAAAAAGAAAAAGGAATAAAAAAAAAAAGAAAAAGAAAAGATTAATTCGGAGAAAAGCTTCGATGTTGGAAATTACAAATAAGCAGCGTGTTTGTGGAAGGGAAAATGGTAAATAAATAGTTACTATTTCAGGACAAAATGGCTCGATAGATTTCATAATTTGCCACCACTGTAAAAAATATCTATTCCCTTCCCTCCCCCCCCCCTTCCCCGCCAATACAGACGGAAACGCGAGCATAAGCATGCAGAAAGTGGGAGGGTGGGGGGCAGCCAAGGATACGAACTCCCTCTTAGAAAGTTTGAATTCTTATTAACCCAGTGATGCCTCCAGAACGTGACGTTCGATCAGCAACACAAAAAAGTTGCACTATACGTCTCCTTTCTCCCCGGGAAAGGAAACTGGAAAAATACTAATAATGAAAAAATAGATGTTAAAAATACCCAAGAGGGAAAAAAAAAATAATAATATAAAGTGCACGTACGATAACCCAAATTAACCCCCTCCGCCCCCGCACCAAAACAGACAAACAACGAGATCTCCGGCTAAAAATCCCGTCGGAAGGAGTGGAACCTGCTTTCTCTTTTCTGCTGTTATTATTGGATGTATGGTTAGGCATGGACTTTAAACTTATAGCGTATAGATAGGCACAAAACAAAGGACGAGAGTCACCGTTAGCCCCGGCATTACAGCCGGGAGTCGTCGGCAAATAGTAATAAAAGCCCGTTTAGCAGTAAATAAGGAGGGCATGATATATGGACGGACAGATGGAACTGCATAAACAGAAAAAGAAAAAGGCAGAGGGACCCGCAAACAGGCGGAGAGGGCTGTTGTACAAGAGTGAAAGATATTGATTTACTTGGAACTAGTGTTGGAAAACAAACGTATTTGTTTCCTTCGCGATTGGGGGGGGGGGGGGAGGAGGAAGAAAAAAAAAAAAGTGATTAAAGTGAATCATAAGGGGGCACACCCTGCAATAAGTCCATGGGGGGGGGGGGGGGGGGTAATATATATATATTTATAGAGGGTAAGGCCTTCTGTAGATGTTCCCAATTTGCAGCGAGCGGCTAGGGCTGCCAAACTTACACCTCCAAATTAAAACCCGGGGTGGTGGAGGGGTGAGAGGGAGGGGGGGGGGGAGGCTGGCCGGGTTCGTGGGGGAGCGGAGGCTTCGTGTCGTGCGTGTGTGCGTGCGTGTGTGTCCCCCCCCCCAAAAAAAAAAAAAAAAAAAAAAAAAGCCAAAAAGCCAAAAAAGCTCGCTTCCTTCCCAAAGTTGGCCGGCCTACCTTGTTCCCCCGTCCTCCGCTCGCCTCCTCATAGCCGCTGCCTCCCCGGGAGCGCGCAGCGTGCGCGGCTACCGCCTGCCTGCCTCCCTAAGGGGTCCATTTTCCTGCTCGGGGCGGTGTGTGTACACCACACGCGCTGCAACCTACCTTCCGCACCGCGCCGCGGCGACGGGAGAGGGAGAGCGAGAGCGAGGGAGCGGGCGGCGGCGGCGGAGGAGGCAGGGGAGGCAAAGGGGGGAGCCGAGACAAAGCCCTCCCTCCCTCCCTCCGCCCGGGCTGCCTCCCCTCCTTCCCCGCCGCTCCGCAACAGGTCGCGCCCCGGCCGGCACCGACGGGGGGGACCGGGATGGATGGAGAGAGGGAGGGATGGAGGGATGGAGGGGGGGGATGCTACACGCCCCCGGAGTGGGGACAGCCTGAGGGGAGCCCCCAGAGGTGAGGGGACACCCCCAAGAGGTGAGGGGATCCCCCGGAGAAGAGGGGATCCCCGGAGAGGAGGGGACCCTCCGGAGAGGAGGGGACCCCCAAAGAGGAGGGGACACTCAGAGGTGTGCGGACCCGAAGAGGTGATGGGATCCCCGGAGAGAGGACCCCTAGGGATGGGACACCTGGAGAAGGGACCCCCAGAGAGAGGACCCCCAGAGAGAGGACCCCCAGAGGGAGGATCCCCAGACAGAGGACCCCCAGAGAGAGGATCCCCAAAGGGAGGACTCCCGGAGAGGGGACACCTGGAGAGGGGATCCCCGGAAAGCGGGGACCCCCCCCAGCGTATTCCCCCACTGCTGCCTTGCCCCGCTAAACACCGGGAGGGGATGGTGTAAAGGCAGCTCTGCCGGGGATGGGGGCTTGGGATGAGGGAAACAGCTGGCCCCGCACAATAAGGGGGGCCCAAACAATAGGGGAGAAGTGTGGGGGGGTGAAGGCTCCGCTGAGGTGGCTGTGAGTAGAGAAAGGGGGCTGTTGGCCCCGGCACCCCCAAACACACACACGCCGAAATCCACGGGCATCGGGAGGCTCCAGCCCCTACAGCTATAATAATGCGCCGTGCTTATGGCTGAACAGGTGCAATGCATATAGTACACGGCGTTACGAGGACGGAAATAAATCTCTCAAGTAAAAAAAAAAAAAAAAAAAGAAAGAAAAGAAAAAAAAAAAGAAAACAACCAAACAAAACATTTTTTCCCAGTTGCAGACAGGCCTAGGTTATTTGAAATAGGGGTCTGGTTTGGAAAATGTGCTCCCCGCTCCCTGCGTTTTTTTTTGGCTGGGGGGGCAAAACGGGGTGGGGGGGGGGCAGACAGAAAGAAGGTGCAAAAGGGAGACAACAAAGCCAGGAAACCCAGCACACGTAAGTGGTTACTAGATTTTTATTTTTACAACATTCTCTCATGGCTGAAGACGATCGACGCTGCTACTAAAATAATTTTCACTCGGCCCTGCCTCCCCTCGCACACAAACTTGTGCTGCTCACAAAAATTCTGATAATTTTAATGACAGCCACAGCCACGCGAAAGTAGCAAGAGCAGGAAAACAAGCCTTTGCACCTGTATTTCATCCTCGGACAAAGGTTCCTCCGAGAACTTTATCAGCAGGGTATCTTTATTTTAGTTGGAGAAACTGGGTCCAAAAAAAAAAAAAAAAAAAAAAAAAAAGGGTTAAGTGATATTCCCAAGGCTGTGCTGTAAATCAGTGGATAAAGCGATGAGAACCCAAATCTCTTGGTGCTTAGCTCGGAATTGGCTTCCAATAAGTCACGGCCGTGGCAAAGTTAAGGGTCCCGTCTGAACCAGTCGCGTAGGCTCCCCCTGTTGCCAGTGGAGGGACAGGCACCTCCACAAAGCCACCCATCCCATTTCCCCCACCCCCCAAAAAGAGGAGGGAGCCTGCACAGCTGGATGAGGCCAGGCAGCTAGCTTTTAGCTGGCTAAAATTAAATAAAATGAATCCCATTTTGATCTAAAGGCCTATTCCAACATCCTGCTGCCCAAAGTGCATTTTTATGCCACATTCACTATTAGGCAATATATGCCTAACTGGTACCGATCGAAAAGGGACAGCCTACTGACTAAAAGAGACAGGTAAACCCCCTAGACCCATGGATTTGTACCCTGTGGCTGGCTGGATGTTCACGATTCACACACAGTCTTCATAATATTAATCAGACTGGTGAATTTGATTAGTTTAGTTCACTGGTAGCTGCTACACATTTCTGTATTTCACTCATAAACACCATATTTTCTATACAGCTGTACAGGAAATAAAGAAAGATTAATCTTTTCTCAAATGGTTAATTTTCATGACTGCCTTCATCATCAAAACACGACCTTTCTTACCTTAGGGTAAAATACAAAGAATTAAAAGCTCTACTAGGTGACTTAGTTCAACTCCTTCAGTAACACTTAGCAAAATGCACAATGCAAAATATAGAGGTAGCTCTACAAGTTGAGGTACTCTAAATACATACAGAAAAATCCAGGCGTTATATATTTGCTTCTCTGGACTTTATGACCATATTCAACTTATTGAAGGGTATGTAAGGTTAAAAAAGTAGAAAGTGATCTAGGAGACTATTTCTAACTGCGGTTCTTTATATGGCCGTCTATGTGCCAAATGACCACTCTCTGCCTCAGTTTTTCCATCTGTAAAATGGACCTGACTGTAGTTCCGTGGGCAAATAGTACCAAAAATATATGAAGTGTTTTGTTTTCCTCAGCCTAGTACCTCAGCCTAGCATCTCTCAGACTTTTATGACGGCGAACATCATGGGAAAAATACAGATAATAAAGGTGATCTGTATTAAAGCCAGCTGATGAAAATCGTAAGATTTTACATACTGCTATGCAGTTTAAATATGAGTACTCTCAGAATTTCAATTTTAAAAAGTAGATTTACACCAAAATGAGGATATCAGATATAAGAACTTCTTAGTATTCTGGCATACTTGACCCAAAACTGACATTCACTCCTCAGTCCTACCTACCTTACAGATTCAAATCTGAAGAGAGTCAAAACTTAACAAGTTTCAATAAAATACAGATCTGAACATTTTCAAATTAATTTTGACATTTAGGTTACACTAATTTGGAACCATGTAAGTTTGAACGATGTTCAGATTTGCCCTTGATCCAGATCCAAAAACTTTAAGTTGGGAGGCATCTAGAGCCTTACTTCCTGTAACTTTCTCAAAATTTTATACAAATATCTAAACCAGGATCACAGGGATCACAGGGTAAATTTACTCATATTCTCAGAAAGTCTGAATCTCAGTAGGGACCCTAAAACTGAACCTGATTCCACCCAGATCTGGAGACACTGAGAACCAAACCTCAAATGACACTTGAAGCAAAGCACATACAGAGTAGTGCAGGGTTTGGCTGTATGCCATTCTCCGAGATTGTGTGAAAACAAATATTAAGCAGATCCCAATGTAAGCTAGTTTTGGCCCTTAATCAGAAATGAATGCAATTAGCCATAACCTTTATAAAATCCAAGTATCTATCTGACCTCAATAATAAACCTCTCAATTTGCAATCTGCACAGCTGGTTCTTCACCTGTGAGCCTTTCTGTATGGATACGAACCATCAATGGTTTGATTCTCTGTTGTCTTATACATCAGTCATCCTACCTAAACCACACATAAAGTGTCCACCAGAACTGGTACGGCTGTGCAAGTCTTTGTTGCACATGACAAGATTCTGGATGACAGACTGAGAGGGAAGGAATGCGCTTTGGTGCCAAATAACATACTCTGTGCTGCTCTGCTCTCTCCTCTCCTTTTCATGTTCCCAGGCTCACCAACGTAGTGAGTTTAGATGTATCTTGTAGGCAACCACAGCTGGAAGAGGAGTCCCTGCATCCTATAACAATATCTGAGGATATGACTGACCTCATTTAAAAGACTTTGACCCTTTAGCAGCTATATATCAGGTGATGCTCAACTTCTAAAGAAATTTAAATAGGACTGACTCCATGGGCTGGTTGGGTATCCTGCCCATCATTGTGATGGGTTAACACACTATTTTGCTATATTGCTTCCAGCTGGATCAGAAACAGCAGCTCAGAACCCTGCTGTAAGGTCCTCACAGACCTTACAGACCTTACAGAGCAGTTGTTCAGCTGATCCCAAGTGCATCTTGTCCCGTGCATTGCAACAAGCAAAATGGTGCTGAGGCTTAGCATACGGATACCACGCTGATGTTAAAAAATTCAGGCAAATTTCTGTCGCTGTTCTCTTTCAGATAATACCGTCAGGACCTAGAAACACTCGGCAACGTGTCTGAACTTGATTACTTCCACTTAGTCCCCTTCACCACATACTCAGATCTCCTAGACTCCCCTGGTATATCATACCGTCATGTTGCCAGCCCGACAGGAACGGTGATTCAGTTGTCTCTATTCATGTCCTGCGGTGTCTCTGCAACTTTGTTCAAATGTAATGAGAAAGATGCCAATTAAAAAGGCACAAGAGCCCTGCAGCTTGGCAGGCTGATTCAAATTAGATACCTGTATGAAGTGATTAAAATAGGTTTTTCTAAACCTGAGGATAACAGGAGGACAGTGTGTTTGATTTACATCGGTGGGGGTCAACAAAAATGTAGAAGAACCACACAGATGCTCTTTACATCTGCAGATTTACTGGTGAAGATGATGGGGACAGAAGGAAAAAAATACATTGTGCTCCTGGTGTCTTTCAATACGCAAAGAATCGCAACTGTTGCCCCATCTCAGCAGTCATTACTTACTGCCAGACCTCCAAATCAGTAATATTTTCTTTTAATTTAGCAGCTTTGATCCATTCCGCTGCACATACGTATTAAAAAAAAACAAATCTCACAATTTCATTTGGTAAATAGCCACTGTCATTTCCATTTCACAGACAGTAAAAACTAAGTGGAAAGAGTTAACCACTTGATTGAGAGTAGAAGTGGGATTGGGATGTTAGGCTTTCCTGACCAGGAGTTCAGGCTGTGCTGCCTCTTATAGATCAGGATCTCAGACAGTCCAATTGATTGGCAAGACTGGGGCACACTTGCTGAACCCGAACTGTCTTTTCTATTTATTTATTTACTTATTTTTAATTTTGAATCCAGGAATGTCGTGAATAATAGATCAGATGCAAAGATGAGATGTCTCCAACCAC